TAATAAAGAGGATTAATTAGTAATATTTTCAAATATAAAACTGAGACAGATTACAACGAAACACCCTGTAGATTAGATACACAGAGAGTTCATGATTGCTTTCACGCATATTACTTAACCTAGGGTTCGTTGATGACCAAATAACATCCTTGATAGGTTTCCATCAGTGAATCAGTGGGCGAGAGTAATTCAATTGACTGTATCTAATCACTGCAGACGCAGAACAGTTACATTCTAGACGAAATAACTTTTAGACACGCACATCCTTTTATTTTTATTTCAATTTTACTTCTAATTTACCGTATTAAAAATAATTATAACTCTAAATCTTTTTGATAACTAGTTATATATTTCCATTCATACTAAATTCCAAAATTAAAAATTTATCTCTGAAATATACACATATTTACACACAAAAAAAAAATAAATCTTTTTACGTTCAAAAAAATTACACACAATATAATTATATTGCTCAATAATTAAAAGAAACCAAAATCTACGCGTACAAAGATATCATCGGGTCACGTGGCCATCGTGATTCAACGTCGAGCCACTTACGGACCAACCACTTATCGATCCTCCTCGAAACGATTATCTGTTTCGGCACGGGGACCAACACGTGGACACGATAGTGTATGAATCGAATCGCATCGCGACGATCCACTTCTCTCATTTCAGTTCTAACACTCTCATAAGCCTATTACCGGGCTAAGCAAACAGGCCGGGTAATCCGATTGCATCGAGAGTGCTTGCTTTCGCACGTTTTAACTATTAGCCGGTCCTCGTGCGCGATCGGCTATCTCCGGCTCGGCTCGCGGAAAAAAAAGCGTCCTCGGGTTTGGCGGGCGGTTCGATTATTTTCTCATCGTCGGTGCGGCGAACTGGTTCACGAGAGAGATGGGTTATAGTGGTTACAGCTGCGAGAATTCATTGTTGTTCCACGAACGAGGACTTATCCTCGGGAACGAGGATCGTTACGCGTACGTGACAATATTTGCTTGGTCTTGGAACGCGTTTCTGCGAACCACGCGCGTGAGATGCGATCAAATATCGCGCGGTGGACGGTTTGCGCACGGATAAATGTTGTTCCAACGGGGATTATAGGCAACTAGTTGACTATATATCGCATCGTTGTTTTTAATAATAATTTTTTCTGATTCGTTATCCAAAGATCCAATCGATTACGCTCGAATTGATTCATATGAATATTATATATTTTTGAGGTTATGTAGTGATATTGCGATGACAAATGAAGATTTGTTGATTCAATTTAAGCTTTTATATAATGAATGTACGTTTATACATCTTAAATTTGAATTTATTCCAAGAATTAAATCACTATAATAATATTGCTGGCCGTATTTCTTAGATCCTCTTTCTATCTATCTATTATAATATAGTCTGTTGCTTACTATTTTTAATTTTTTCTACAAAAAAAAAAAAATACATCTTTAATCAATAGAAAACTCTTTATTAAAATTCTTGGGAATCCAGAATCCCGTATGCGCGAGATTTAAAACCTTTATAACCTCTTGGCAAGAATTTCTTGGCTAATGTAACTTTCTTGGCGTATGTATAATATACTTTGATCAATAAAACTCTAGTGTGTACATCTGTTTTGTATCCAAAAAGCAAAATGTTTTGTACAATGACAATCCAATAGTTGTTATTATAGTTATTATAACACAATTTAGTTTAGTGAAAAAAGACATACTATTGATAATTACATTATAATATTAAACGTTAATATATAATGATTTTTTTTTTAAATGAAATAACTGACAACTTTTCTTTTTATATCGATTCACAATTCAAATCAATCCATCCAAGAGGAATAATTTCGTATCAGGCTAATATTTTCCTCGTTCACTGGGTCAGATAAACTGGCGACACGATGAAAAGCTGGGATTAAAAAAAGAAATCGTTCCCTTGGGAATACCCCGCACCCCATGTCATGTTCGCACTCGAGCACGAGATATATATTTTACGATGTCTATGCCGTGATGGGGTGGCGCTCTGATGATCACGATGCCGCGATATCTGATATTACGAGGATCGTATATGCATGAATTAACGTGTTTTCATATTTTTGAGATGAGATAACACGGTAACGTGATTTTATCTATACAACTAATGATTATCTATGATAAATGTAAACGATCCATGTAAGTACTTGCTCAGGTGGATATCCTGTAATATTATATATTTTGAAATATGAAGCAAGATGGTGCAAAAAAGTATATTTTTATTTCTGAATACTATTCAGAAAGAAGAAAGTTTGTAAAAATTAAAAATCTAATAATAAATTATATAACTATAGGTTAAAAGAATAACGAAATACTGTTTCGTTGCTAAAAGCATATATATATATATATATATATANAAGCATATATATATATATATATATTGTATTAAAAGTGTAATAAATTTATATAGAAATATCAAGAGTTCCATTAAAATGCTTTTACCCGATGGAAATTAAGTTTAATGAAATAATAAAGTTGGATAAGTATACTTTACATGCAACATACTTTTCCTCTCAAAGTTATTGATTTATCGATAAGATTGATGTGTATACTGCTTATCAAAAGTTTCTTAAATTGATGGAAAAATATATCTCGAAATAATATGATTTAACTTGTAAAATAGATACTTTTGCATATCGAGGCGCGCATGCTAATGTTATTATTCCGTTCATTATTGCTCAAAAATTCCACTCTGATTGTTTAACAAAAAAATAAATATTATTGAACAGAATTCGTTAAAAACTTCGGACAGAAACTTTAAATCACAAATAAACTTTATACAAGTTCTATGTTTCCAACAATATTGTTAGTGTACCATTACGTCGATCAAAATTTCACCTTCTAGGCATCGTAAATTTAATTCGAAAACAGAAGAGAGAAAGAGAGAGGGAGAGAGAACTTTCTCAACCTACCTCGATCCTTGATCCGTTGGCCGGTTCTTAGGCATGCCGATTTAGGAGGGTAGATTCGTGCTAGGGGAGAGGTCGTGGAGGGTTCAGATATAAAAGATTCGTTGGGAACCGAGGCCAAGATTCGATCACAGGCCATTGTAAGACCTTCGACTCGGTCCACGGCCGTTGCCAGACACTGGTTGCCTTCTATTTTCTCAAGGCCGACTGTTAACGACTCATCGGGGATACCTCGAAACCCTCCTCCTCTGGGAATGCTCGCGGATCTCGAGAAAATGCCACATGTCGTGTCAGGTCTCATTCGAGATTTACGCTTCGAACAGCTATGATTCAGATAATACCGCGTACAAGTTCACTGCAGGGATTCGACTTTCGGGTCCGCGGAATATGCTACATATAAATGTATTCTTCTTCAAGTTGACAATGATGCGAAAAATGTGGCGTGACTGGTAACACGTTTGAAAGGAGGATGAATTTGCAGGAATAAATTTTGAAGAAGAAAATGATAATGATTGTTCAAAATGATACGATGAATTATATTTTAATTTATATTGCTTTCTGAAATATTTTTTAGCGATAGATATAAATAAATATAAAATATTAGCGTATAGAAATAAAATGTAGATAGTATTCGTGACTTGTAAAAATTTTTTCGTTAATATTGTAATTAAAAAATTGAAATAACTTGCTTCCGGTGATAATGAAGCAATTTGATCGATAAAACGAAAAGGAAACAAAAATACTCATAAAAACATTATATATCGATCGAATGGCACATTATAAGTTTAAGGTCATCTAAAATTCTAAAGTCAAATTAAGTTGCGCACACGTGAAGTGATCGTTAGCAAGAGGCAGAGGCAACGAGTAATATATTACGTTATACGAAATTACTTTATTACACTTTCTTTAACAGTGAAAGATACATTTCATATAATTCACATCATATTATATTTATAATAATAAAATTTAATTATTTCGATCTATAAATCGAAATTTTTAATTGATCAATTTTAAGAAAATAACGCTTCCGATATATGCTTCTATCGTGTTGATTTTTCAAATTTTTCTTATTTTGTACTGGGATGGGATTGAATAATCATGAAAACAGTTAATAAATTAAGAAAAAAGATTGCAAAATTAATGATTTAACGTGTCTTACCATTCATCGATTTACATTACAATTTACAGTTTCGTTCGAATCGCTTGCGGATTATCCAATTTTCCGCTACCGTTTAACACGGCTCGTTAATCGAGGATCGTTTGACGTTGCCGCTGGCATTCAGCGACGTGAATAGACGTGTTTACTTGTGCGAGAAAACGAGGAATCGGGCCACACGAAAAACGTGCGAACACGTGGGAAACGCGTATATATAGTGATCGATGCATCCAAAACGTTTTCTCAAACGAGTATCGTGTGTGTTTGACCCCTCCAAGTGATTTCCAAGCGATTCTGTACACACTTGTTTTCAAATTAATAAACAGAATTCGCGAGAAATTCGAAAAATTGTTGTGCAAATCTCATAAATGCAAATCTCTATTTCAAATTTTAACGAAACGAAATTCACCTAATCTAATAAAATATTGTTATAAAAAGGAATGGATGAACAAGAAAAATAGAAAAATATCAATTGAACGTGCATAGTACTTGTCTACACTTGTGATCGTTAGATAGAAAAAGGTTGCGCACATTACGGTCTTGGAAACTTTTTCGCAATCTTTCTTTACCTCTACACCATGTCTATACTTCTCTTGTGTCACATTTCCAATGCTTTTGCTTTTTTTCTCTTCTCTTTTATTCTTTGCGACGCGAGCAAAGATTGTTATCGATGCGTCCATTTTTCTCACTCTCTTTTCAAATGTCGACGAGCGAAGTGGAAGAGACGTCGAGAGATATCGATTGGCCCGTTTCAATTATTTAATATTAAAATTAAATAAGCGATTTTATAAAATGATTCCACGTTCGTTGGAATAATTTTAACAAGGAAAAAAAAGAAAGTTATAATACAAACGATTAAATTGAAAAATATCGTAACGAAGGAAATATCTTTGTTATATTTTTTTGCAGAAGCGAGAGAGGTCACCGGGAAAAAGAATGGACCGACTTCGACGAAGTTTTCGTGATAGCTTTCGACGGCGGAAAGATCCTCATGTGCCGGAATCAAGTAAACCGCATCAATGGCAGGCGGACGAAACGGCTGTCCGCTCGGCCACGTGTGCTTTCCATGTTAAGGTACAATTCTAATTTTATTGTTACACGTTAAATTTACGAAAGTGAAGTTACGATTTATTTAGAAAAAAAAAAAAAAAAAAATGAATCATCTTATTAAAATATGCAAATAACAAAATAATTAGAAGGGGTTAAACTGGAATCTTAAAAATATTAAAAATAATTTTATATTAAAAATATTAATTTATTAACGGAATATTAAAAATAAAATTTTTATTAATTTTTAGATCGATAAAAGTAAAAAAGAAATTAATATCGAAGATCAGTAAAAGTAATAAATATAAATTCGTAATTAAAGATTAAAAATTTGGTCATTCGAAACAAAATACGTTTAAACATGAAGAATTCGTGTGTAATCGAAAATCGAACAGCTATCGGCCGTAAAATTGGCACATATCCAAATAATCGATATTCGAGAGTAACGAGCGTACCATTACGGTTACCCCTTACTAAAATACGTATGTGTAGCCCTATTCTATTTTGATAGACTACCCCTATACTTCTAAAATGTTCTTTTCTAATGAATTGAAACTTTTATATTATATCCAACGTAATTTAAATATATATATATATATATTTTTAATAATTAAAGAAGAAATTTCTGAAACGATAATTTCATTCTACATTTCACTAGGAGTCTACAGCTTCTATTATTCTTTTTTTGTCAAATCAATCTCGAGTATCAATCAAACTCGACCCTGTTCGCGCTTATTGATTAATCCAATCAATTTCAATTGCTTCCAGTACCTGGGATGTGTTGAGGTGTTCGAATCAAGGGGTATGCAAGTGTGCGAGGAAGCTCTAAAAGTACTTAGGGTAAGCGAAAAAAAAAAATTCTTTTGAAAATTGTCAATTTGATGTTTTCAACTTCAGCACGAGTTATAAATTTTCTTATTTAACATTCTCGTCGTATATTCTTTCTATCTTTGAGAAAAAAATTTTTAGAAAAAGAAATTTAAAATCCAATCGATCATTTTTTTTTTTTTCAAAATGAAATTCTTGTAGAACTCGAGGCGGCGGCCGGTACGCGCGGTGCTGCACGTATCAGGAGACGGTTTGCGGGTGGTTGAAGATGAGACAAAAGGGCTGATCGTCGATCAGACGATAGAGAAAGTTTCCTTTTGTGCTCCGGATCGAAATCACGAGAAAGGGTTCAGTTACATCTGTAGAGACGGCACGACCAGACGATGGATGTGCCATGGATTTTTGGCATTGAAAGAATCGGTTCGTGTTGTTGATAAAATTTCTTTGATAGAAAAATTCGTTGATTATTGAACATTATTTTTTTTTTTTTTTTGTAATTGATGTTTCAATAATGATTGTGATGATTGTACACTACGATCTGTAAGTACAAATCTGTACACCATAATTTTTTTTTTTTTTATAGAATTATATGTAATCTATAATTTTCAAATTAATTTTTCTCTTTTAATATGGAACAATATAATTCTTTAAATCGCATTCTTTCTTTGCATCTATATAATTTTTACGCTTAATATTCATCGTGTTCATTTAGGGAGAACGCTTGAGTCATGCAGTTGGATGTGCTTTTGCTGCGTGTCTGGAAAGAAAGCAACGAAGGGACAAGGAATGCGGTGTCACGATGACGTTCGATTCGAAAACTTCAACCTTCACGAGGAGCGGCAGTTTCAGGCAGCCATCTTTAACCGAGCGATTGCAGGATTCGCGCGAACGCGCCGTAGGTCAGTGACTTTTCTCCCTTAATGTACCTGTGAAGCAAATTATTAACATTCCAACGAATCTATAATCTATCCTTAAAATATAATGAAAATAAATCAATACAAAGAAATGTAAATATATATTTTTTAAAATATCAGACTTGAAATTTTTGAAATATAAATTATTTTTTTTAATCTTTAACTAGCTTGCTTTTCTATGATTTTATTTTTATAAAAATCTCATATATAGAAAAAATTAAATGGCATCTGAAAATTGTATTAAAAGTTAATAATAAAAATAATTAAAGTGACCATTAATTCATTCAATTAATTCATTTGTACTTTGTGAAAAATTTTTCAAAGTTTGGTTTCAACACATAGAAAAAGATTTTTTAGACGTATTATAGAAGTATATTTCTTACAACCAAATGTTTTTTTTTTTTTTTTTTACAGATGTACCACCTATAAAGCAAGTCTACAATCCTTTTGCGATAGAGAGACCACACGCTACCCCGTCGATGCTCGAAAGACAAGGTTCCTTCCGGGGTTTCACTCAATTGAACCAAGCATCACCGTTCAAAAGGCAGCTTAGTTTACGGATTAACGATCTTCCTAGCAATCTTGAACGCACACGTAGCCATAGCCTTGAACCGACGGATTTGTCACGGATGCCATCTGCTATGTCTCACATCGTACCTCTGAAGCCACCAGGTAAAAATCCTTATTGCGATATCTTCGAATCTAGAAATATAATCATGCAGATATATTATAATTTTATTCTATAAAATCGTATATTGATGTTAAACGTATATTATATACAATTACATACAATGTATGGATACAAATATAAACCTGCTTAAGATGAAATTCAAAACTTTGATAAAATTATGATAAGTTAAACTGAAGGCTTCAATATATTCTCAAGAGAAGGATTAATTTTTAATATCATGTTGCTATATAAAATATTGTAGCTATTATTTTATTGTTACTATGCGCAGTTGGCATGAATTATATCTTTTATATTGTTAGCAACATTACAAAATAGATTGGTAAATGATTGATTTCATAATATCTATTTTTGTAAAATTCTTTTTTCAAATGCAATGATGGACAAAGGAAATGCGATTATTTTCTTAAATAGAATTTATATGAATAGAATTTTTTTAAATTTTTCGAATATAAATATATTAAATCAAATTTACGAGGAATAAATTATTAATATTGACAATATTTATCGATATTACATATTTATACATTTAATTATTGAATATATATTTGTATTCTGAATATTGTAATATCAATTATTTTTTCATAATTGCAATTATATTTTGAAGTCTTCAGTAGTAATCCTATAAAAATATTCCGACAAATTGCTTTCTTCCATGTGCTGCGTATAACTAAAATATTGAAACATCGAATAATATAATTCTTCATTTTTGCAATAGAATTCGAAGGATATGACGAAGGTCATTATTCCCTATTCTGTTAATTGTCCATATTGCCTGACCCTTCTTTGATGTTTTTGGATGGTGCTCGTTTTCCTCCGTTGTGTTTAAATATACCATTGTATACGATATGTTGTTCGTTTAAATATAGTTCAACGAAGTTGAACGAGTAGAGGAAGTGGAAAAAAAAAAAAATATAACGTTCTACACGACCCTGTAGTACTCTTAAATGTTCTCGTTTTATGAAATATTTTTCTCGCTTCAAATTTTATTTTCTAAAATTGTAGTTTTGTTGAATACATAAAAGAAACTGAATTTTTTAAATTTACAGACTTATATTATTTTACGAAATAGCTAAGTCATTTTTTTTTTTCTAAACCTTTTTCTTTCCGAATTTTTATTAACAAATTATTATCGAAATATAATAACAATTATCATATCGTCAAAAAATTATTTATTCTTCCTAAAATATTCTCTTCCTCTTAATATTTAAATTCTTAACTAATTTTGTGAAATAATATAAGTCTATTATTTTCGGAAATATTTGTTTTTTAACATCTTGTATCCCGCTGTTAAACACTTAACACGTATTCACGTGTTTGCAGCATGCGTTCTGTAGTTCCAAGCACTGGTTCGAAGCACCAAATTATAGTGTTAGAAATGTTTAATATCTAGAATAAATGTTAAAATTCTGTTCTTTTTTTACAGTTAGTCCAATACCAGAAATATCACCCGGGGGTCAAGATAGCGTTTCAGCGATGTGTCAGCAGCTTTCACAAGGGCTTTCTCTTCTTTCGAGGACCGACGACTTCGGACCAATCTCTACGCAAAGCAGTACAAGCTCTGTGGCTAAACAGCTCTTCACCAGTACCACCGCTAATAATACTCCACCAGGTACATCATGAACCTGAAGTGGATAGAATTTTTTTAATTCTAACTACTGGATACTACAGGATCAATTAACAAAATAATATTCTTACATTCTTAATACATTCTCTAATAGATTTCAATTTTCTTTAATAACAAAAATATACCTTATATATTGTGATAAAATATTTTTATAAATGTTATAATTTGTAATTATTTTGATTAAATGCTAATGATTGACATTCCGTTACAGTGACGAGTAGCAACTCGTTGGACGAATTAAAACTGCAAAATGGTCCAAGTTTGAACAACAATAACAACAACAACAATAACGAAAAGAACGACGATCTCAGTAATCTGAATCACGTTGGACCCAGTTGGCAGGAAGCTCCGTCACCTGTTCTGGCTTCGAATCACAGGCTTACACCAATCTTGAATAAAACCAGCAATCTCAGTCCCATCCTTCCAAGAACGAACGCGCCTACACCGATAGTTATGAGTACCCCCGCACCCAACACCACTGTCAGCGTGTTTGGAACATCAGCCTCGGCCAGTCCAGCCTTCAGCACAGCGTCCACGTCCTCCTTAGGAAATGCACCCACACCGGCTATGAATAGGTCACCGATACCAGTGACTTCAGTGATGACTCCCAAGACCAGCTCACCGACTGCTACTAGTATGGCATCCGTCTCACCGGCTCTATCTGGAAAGATTTCTAATAATGTTAGTCAAATTAATCAAACCTCAGTGGCGAATACTATTACTACATCAGCGGTAAGCAGAAATGCTTATTCGTTTAAACTTAATACAATATTATTCGCACCGATTGATGTTATTAATTACATAATATTTATATACTGTTTATATTGTCTATACTGTATTTTGCTTTTCTATATTTCATTTAAAGAAGTCTGTTAATCTTCGATCGATTATTCTCCAAGTTTTTTTATAAATTCAAAATTAATGTTACTTTCAATTAGAATTTTTTCATTTTTGCCTTGAATCGTTACAAAGGTAAAAACATCAGAGGAAGAAAGAGAGCAGTATATCTTCTTGTATTAGATCTATCAAAGCAAATATAATCTGTCCTTTTACTTCTCAATTTTGCAAAGTATAAACAATCACGCAAAATGATGTAAGAACAAATATTACAATATTTTAATTCTCATTTCAGGTTCAATCAGTTTCAACAACAACCGCATTGCCAAAACCGGAGCAATGGTTGGGCAGTATAACCAGCTCGGTACCACCTTCAGTGCAATCTCCTTCGCAAGGACAAATAAGTCCTCGACGGGCACCACCTCTTCACGCGAGGGCGCTCTCCCTCGGTTCAGCCGCCATGAATCAGGCGACCAGAACCGGTCCTTCGGATCCATTCGACGCGGAATGGGCGGAAATAGCGGCGAGGAATCTGCGACAATCGAGCACCACAAACCCGTTCATAATGCCAAACGCGACCCAAGCATTCCAGGTGCAATTGTAGCGCCAGGAGTTTGTCAACAGCGTGGCCAAGTACTTCCGTTCGAACACATAGTGACGACTCCACGTCCGTTCGCGTTTCGACCTCTCGAATAACCGGAAGTATTACACGTGAACCGTTTAGTTAATCTTGATGGAATCGCGTGGTTTCAAATGAGTAATTCTCCAATGGAGATTCCGGATGATTGGTCACGGTAAAGAGCCGTGTGATGAAGAGGGACCTCCATGAAAAGCGAGGGATGGAGATATCGATCTCGAAGAGATGTGTTTAGTAGCAATGATTGATATAGAAGCAAATCAGCACAAAACACGTACCCGTTGTTTCTAGATATTAGTAGATTACGCACACACAGCCTCAATAACCTCGAATGAATACGAGAAGAGTGAGAGGAAATATGAATTTGAAATAAAGAAAAAAAAAAAAAAAAATGCTTTCTGGGACCACGCGTTCGATCGCGTTGGTGAACGTGGATTATTTAATTAAGAGATCCATACGGTCGATCGATCGGCCGAGTCGCACGATTTACTTTAGATGTCGTCGCACTTTATCTGCGGAAAAAACTAGATAACGTCGTTAATATCGATAACATATTTAAATGTCTATCGTGAGATTATTACTTAATTAAACGAGATGTACAATAATCTTGAATAGTTTAGGCTAAAAACGATTATCGTTCATTCTGCATGATGAAACAAAATTTCCACGCACCCAAGATTATGATGCACGAATCAGATGTTTCGTCGAAGATAAAAAACGTAAAAAAAAAAAGGAGAAAAAATACAAAAAAATAAATAAGATACGAGAAATAATATGAAAATAACAATGCTAGTAGCTTAGTTCGAATGCAAATCCACGCGATAAACGTGGCTCGATAAAAACAATTATTATCAGATAGTTATTTTTCTTTTCAAACGGCCAACAACCGAAAGGTGCGTAAATGAAAAATTCTGTCGTATTTACCCGGCTCGAAATATCAAGAATTGTCAAGTTTTATTAACGATGAGCAAAAAAAAAACTTAGATAACAAAATAAACAAAAAAACAAATTAAAAAAAAGAAAAAAAGTTATGACCGAGTACTTATAAATTCATTGATACTTATAAATTGGATTGATACTGGCGCAATTGAACACCAAAATAGCGGACTGTGATACATGTAGCCAAAATGGCCAGTACTTAAACGCAAACAATCAGATTGTCATAAATTTTGCTCAAAAGTTTCTCCGCCTGAAACGACAGAGAAAAAACGGTTACGAGCTTGGGTAGCGCAGAATCTATTGTTCCCTGGCCAACAGAATTAATCACACAAATCCTAAACACACGCATATACAACTTAGAATATTTAAGAGCAAAAATTAGATGTTAAAAAAGTTTCTAGAATCAGTACGTTCCACGCTATTGTTGTCTAATATCGTACATACAAGCGGGTTAAGCATTCATTGTAAAAGATTGTTTTGAAATTTGAGAGGATGTATTGAGGTGTGTAGATGAACGATACGACATTGTGGTTTTGCAGCAGTGGTGTTGTGTTGTTCGATAGCTTTATATATTTAAATAGCGTCGTATAATCGTATACATTGCGCTATTTAGATTTGATGTGATTCGATACTTTTATATGTCCAATGTCAGAATCCTATTATTGTAATTTTATTGAATTATTGGAATATGTAAATCTGTCGAATTGCATAATGATATTAGTGCAACATTATAAAGATATTGAATCGTATATTGTCACCGCTGAAAAATCGTAAAACGTATTATACATTTACATCAAGTATTACAAATATTGTCTGCAGATTTGCCTGCACATAGATTTTTAAATACCTACAGAAAAATATAGCACGAAATTATAGTATACGATATATGATGTAACAATTTATGTAATACTAGTGGAAGAGATATATGTAGATTCAATCATACAGTCAAGTTATACAGTCATATCTCTTTTTGTTTCAAAATATATAAATTATGAATTTGATGAATTTTACTGATCTCATAATATCTTTTCTACCAGCGATAATTATTTGTAAATAATTTATGCGAACTATTTGCAGACAATGTTTGTAAACTATGCCTTTAGATGAAAAATGGCTCGCGCACACGTAATAGGGTACATAAAAGGTGCTTCCGCTTGAAACAAGACCAAAAAAAGCACACACAAGAAAAATATAAAAGAATAAGAGAATAAAACGAAGATTGTTTCACGAGCCAACAGGAGAGCAACGATATGGTGTCGCGTTCCGACGTGAACCTATAGCACTATAGATTGTTATTCGAATTATGTCAATTGTTGAACGATTACGGAGATTTGTGAATGTTCTCCATATCCTATATATTGATAAACATGGAGTTAATGTTGCATCTTAAAGCTTCTTTCACTTTTAGTCAATGAATAAGCTTTTAATTTCTTGAATTGATGATGATTTTATAGCAACCCCTTGCTATAATATATATATATATATAATCAAAAGTATCTTTTCTACTTCAAAAGATACTTTTGATTAATAATAATATACTCTTACAGAGAAAAATTAAAGAAAAGATTTTCTTTCTTATATTACAAGACAAATTGTTTTAAATCTATAATTTACTTTTCTATATGCCAATATCTATATATATATATATATATATATATATATATATATATTTCAAAAATTATTCATATAAATGCCAAATATAATAAATTCTTTTCAACCAGAAAGATCTAAAAACATGATATGAAAAAAAACTGTACATTATGTCACATTATATGGCAAGGGGTTGCCATCGAACAGGGGTAAAAAGAGGTGGAGGCAATAGATAGAATGACTTCGTCGTCATTAATGGAGAAGAGGGTACGTGTTCGATCGTCGTTTCGACGACGAATCGTATATGTGCATTGTACATAAATAGTAGTTATTTAAAAAAAAAAGATGTTACGAAAGGAATAGAAAGTAAAATTGGATTGGTGAAGAGAGAGAAAGAAAAAGAGAGTGAATGAGAGAATGAGTGTACGAATGAGAAAAGAAAGTTCATCGAGTCGATGATAATCCTAATTCAAACAGAAACAATATTCTTCGTTGTCGAGATTCGTTCAGTTTAAATTATAAGTTATTCTTGTAAATATAGTTCGGTAACGTTTTTCAGCACAAATCGTGTTGCTTATACAATTTTAGGACTTCTATATCCGGTGACAATAGTATAATCTGTTTAAAATTAATTATCCATTGAATATAATTGAGTACTATTTTTCTTTTTTATAATCTTTAGCTTCTATTTGATTCTCTGATAGATTGAAAAAATCTTTTGTAAGTGGGTCCAACTCGGTGCTGTTCTTAATTAATTTTCTTAGTTAATTTTTTTTTTCATTTTCACTTTATCATCGGAAATATGTAAATATATCACGTTTCTCAAATATAAGAGACAATTCTTTTCGTTAATCTCGAGAGATCGATTGATTCTGAACAGACTATACAGCGCCATTTAAAGATGGAAATGACGTAAATGATACTCGTTATATAGGAGAATCCTAAGCCCGATATCGTTCTCGTTTGGCATGATTGAGTTGATCTTTCGAATCATCTTCTGTCCGTCCGGTAAATCAAAAACAACAAAAGCGAAAGAAACGAACATCGACATACCGAAGAGAAAATAATGGATAGAACCAGAGAAAACGAAACAAAATAAATAAATAAACAAAATAATTGTCGAGATAGCACAAGCGCGATCACGAGGTACATATCACGGAATTTGTATAGAAGAAAAACGTGTGATAGAGAAAACGAACATTGGTTGATCGATGTACTTAAATGTGTATTAATAGGAACGCAGCTTATTTCTTCGTTTCAATTTTCTTTTTTCTCTCTTTCTATTTAGAAACGAACGTAAAAAATCGATGTCGTGGACATCATAAATTTTCGTTTTCGTCATTGAAATAATTTGATTTTTTAGGTTAATTCGGAGAATTGTATATACTACGATGATTATATATAGTATATATATAATATTGCCTTAAGTACTTATTATTTTCTTCTTTTATTTTTTTTTTTATTTTTTACATTTTTTTTCTTTCGTATCGTACTTACATATAACTTACACATGTAAGTTAATTATTCGTTTAAATTTATTTGGCTAGGATCAAAAGGATCTAAATTAAAATAGAAATCATCTTGACTGGTTTCTGTTTCTAACCTTAAACATTTGTTGCAAAACTGATATATTTATTCTCTTGGTAGTTTATCGAATAATATTTAGAAAAATTTATTACAAAAAATGGAAAGAACAGGCATCAGTTGAGATATGTTCCAGTATCTTGACTCACTGAAAGAGATTATAGTGCATTTAAGATTGTTTAATTTGTTACGTGAGTACACAGACATTGGAATAAGGGAAAAGGGATAAAAATACAAATGGAAATAATATACGAATAATATACGAGCAGATGCACCGCGTGCCAAATTTGAGAAAAGTGCAACCGCATTATCTGCAAATTATTTCGACATCGTGCACGCTTCCGTGGTTGTGTTGTACATAATATCGCTGATCGATTCCTGAATCAATGTACGACTGCGTGTATATTTCGTGAAAGTATCCTTGTTCGTTTTACAATGTATCTGCCTCTGTAAAGATACGATTTATTATAATATCTGTTGTGATTACCAAATTGGCTTCTATTATTGACTTCTATTTTTACCTATTACACACATATAAATTGGATGACATAAATGTAAAAAATATTTATCTTTTTTTTATCTTTTTAAAAGAATCAAAAAAATTAATTTTATTAAAAAAAAATCAATTCTATATAGTTCTATCAATTTTATTTAAATCTATTCTGTAATTAAATAATGAACAAAATACATGTATATATATACGTATATATATATATATATATATTATAATATTTTTCAGTGCGTTCATATTTTAGTCATTTTTGAGTTGCATTAATTATAATCAATGTTCCTATAATAATTATAATCAATGTAATAAATTGTTATAAAAAAAGTTATATATATATAAAATATTATTAGTTAAAAATTTTGTATATGATCAAATCACTTTAATATAAATATAAATATTTAAATATTTTCTTTATTTTAAAATTTTAGAATAAATCATCTGATAATAATCTCATATTTTATAATAACATACTTTTCCATACTTTAATTTATTATATATATATTATATACAATTTGAATGAGCCTTTCAATTATTATGAAAATTAATTGCATATCGATTTTTTGATATGTGAAAAAGTTCATATACCAAAAATATTATTCAATTTGAAATTAAATTAACCTCAAAATTTTTAGTTTCAATTTCAATTTCAATTCAATTTTTTAAATTTACCATTTTAATATTCTTAAGATATTGACATTTATTATTTGAATCTAATAGAAAAGTCGAATTTTATATAAAATGACAACTCTAAAAGAAGCATTAGAAAGATATCCACCCAGTTCACCTACGACTTGTACACTGAAAAAAAATAGCGTTTTAACACAACCGCTATGTCCAAATATTCAACCACCTATTACTGGCACTTCTGCAGTTCATTTTCAAATTGCATATACTTGTTACGGGTATGTTAATGTTTATAGACATAATATTTAAATATTATTTAAATATATTTAAATAATAATATTTTGAAAAATACATAAAAAAATTTTATTTAAATATATCGAAAAAATTTGTATTTAAATATAAAAAATATAAGATAATTTTATAAATATTTTTTAGTGTTAAATATTTACCCTGTTATTATCCACGGCCAATATGTTGTCCAGTACCAGTGATACCACCACCGAAAGTAAAATGTTATGGAAGATTAGTCGATCGTTGTGGAAGACCTATTTGTCTATATTTCTGATATTATCCTGAATTGTTTTTCTATATATTCGCATGATTCTAATGTATAGTTAACAAAGAATATTTATTAACATGTATATAATTTATATCGTTAATTTTTTTTTATTTATTATATGATGTAATATATAAGATTTTCCATCTAAATTAAAAAATTAAAAGGATATTTTATTTGAAAAATAATTATATATACAGAAATTTTAATTGCATTTTTAATATCTATCATTTCTAATATCTATATTTATATAAATTAAATATAGAATCAATTTTATAATATATTTTTTATATTTTTTTATAATAGATTTTTATGCATATAGTATCCTGTTTTTTAATTAAATATTACATAGATGAAATACAGGAAAAACTTAATATAATAATTTAATGGAAGTTTTTATCTCGTTTTAAAATAGACATAAATATAAAAAAAATAAAAATTAAATTTAATTCTGTTAAAATTTTTAATCAATATATTAAACAATAATATTAATCAAATATCAGCGCCGAGATTTTCTTAAATGTATAAATTTTTTAATTTATAAAGTAAATATAAACAAGGAAAGCTAATAATGAAGAAAGATAAAGATAAAGTAAAAATTCAGGAATCAGCGCCATCTTCAGAATGGAGCAAATGAAATTAAATAAACAAGGATAACAAATATTAAGAAAAAGATAGAGATAGAGTAAGAATTGATTATTAGCGCTATCTCTCGAATGCTAAAAATATTTCTTTAAAAACACGATAAGATAGAATAAGAATTGAAGATTAGCGCCATTTTTTGAATTTAACTTTTAAAGAATTACCTTTGATACTTGTAAGATGACGCTAATGATCAATTCTTATATTTCTCTTTTTTTTTCTAATATTTGCTATCTTTATCAATATATGTGTTTCATTTACGCCACTCTAGAGATGGCGCTCATTTCACAATTTTTATTCTATCTCTATCCTTTATAAATTATTATTTGCTTTCTTTGTCTATACTTGACACGTACTATAAATAAGATACAAATTAAATACACTTTATTTCTTTTTCAAAATTATAATATATTTTAATTTTTTGAATTTAAAATTTTTAATTTAATTAATATTTAAATATGTACAGATTTTTAAATATTTTTATAAAAAGTAATACAATATTCTAATAATTCAATATATAATGAATATCAAATATCAAAATATCAAAGAATTGTATGAATATATTATGTGAATATATTTACTTTAAATAAAAAAAAAAAAAAGAAGAAATCGATTCAAAGCGAATTTATTTACAAAATTAATACAAATATGAAATATCTTTAGATCAAATTCTTTCAAAATTCTTAATAATACGAAGAATTATATACCTGAAATATAAATCTGAAATATTTTAAATTGCACAAAATTTCTACTTTTGATTAAACTAATTGTATGATATTTAAAAATATCTATATAATATATATTCTTGGGATTAATTCTGTTAGAAATAAATTCATTAAATAAAAATGTCTTCTTACGAAAACACGAAACGTAAGAGCACTCTACCTCCACGATGTTACCATTGCAAACCTTCACCATTTTATTGCCCTAAATATGGCTGTCCACCCCCGCAACAATATCCACCTTCAAAATATTGTTGTTCTTCTCCATGTCCACCTTTCGTATGTTATATATATAGTATTAAAATTATATAAATATAATATAAATTAAAATTATATTTTATATTATATTATTTTCAAAAATATATTTCACAATAAAATCTTATCTTTTTAATTTTTTTATTTCTAGATATGTAGGCCACGACCAGAACCTCCACCAAAACCACCAACCCTGTACATTGTAAATTGTTTACCACCTCCTGATCCACCAATTCCTAAATGTACACCACCAAAATTAGTTCCACCACCATCATGCGTACGTTATTGTATCACTGATATATGTGGAAAATCGTGCTATTGTCCTCGCTACTTTACTGATCCTCAGTGTATGAAATGTTGTTGACTATTGAGAAGACTAAAAATTATATTGTATTTCGTATTTTTAATTATTTTACTGTATATAAATTATAAAAAAAATGTGAGACTTTGATATTGTAATAACATATTGTATAACATGCAATGGGATTGAAAACGATTAACAAAGATAATTATTTATAAAAATTTATTTATTTGTTAAATTACATTCTTTCTTATAAATTTTCAAATAATTAATATGTAATAATAATAATAACTAAAAATGATTTAATATTTTATAACCAAACTTATGTCAAATGTCAGTCAACAAAAAGTAACAAAACAAGAATCAATTTTAAAGAAATTCGTTTATATGTAACTTAAAGGGATAGAAGACATACATATATACAGAATAAAATGTTAGAAAATCCGGAAATAATCGGTGAAAGAGGAGAAGAGGAGGCAAATCCTTTAGGGGTAAGTACTTCTTATTCTAAATAATAATAGATTATTATATTAATCTCCATAATATCCTTTTTAAAATTACGTATTTATTCGTTTATTAATCTTATCTTCCAAATCTTTCTGCAGATCTAATTATATCCTATAAATTTTAATCATTCAAATGAAATTGTCATTTTAATGTAAAATTTGGTGAACTAAGGCTAAAAATTTTTTTTATTTTGAGAAAAATGGAATGAATAATAAAATAAAGTATAATATAATTATAGTTATATGAAGGTGAACGAAATGAAAAAGGGGACAGACACGGCCGTGGCAAAGCTTTGCTTCCAAATGGTGATATGTACGTCGGTCAATATTGCAAAGGATTGAGACACGCTCGAGGCTTGTACGTGTTTAAAAACGGCGCTCGATACGATGGCGAATGGCGGCAAGGTGTAAAATACGGCCAAGGAACATTTTGGTATCCTGATGGAACACGATACGAGGGTAAAAAAATGTTAATCGAACCATATGTTTACTTTTATCATTACATTACATTATTTTTTGGAATTTTCTAATTTAATATATTTTTAAACTGTAAAAAATAAATATCAGAAAAATTTCATTTCCATATCATTTTTATACTTATCTGTTTCAAGTATCATTTTTTAAGAATTTTTCGATACTTTTTTTAATTTTAGATTCAAAAATATACCGGATGTCTTATACAATTTTATGTTTTTCATAATATCAAGAAATATTTTAAATAAAAGTTGAATGGTTTCTGCATTCTGATATACCTGCATTATTAATTTTTTTTGTAAGTAAACACATAGAGAACTTGTGAAGATCAACTTTGTTCTTTTAAAATAAAATCATTTGTTTTTTAATACATAAATCAATATATCTCTAAAAAAAAATATTACACTATATAAATCATTATTAGTTCAGAAAAATTATTAGTTCAGAAAATAATAACAAATATCTCTCAAGATTTTTTTTATTTATAAAACATTGTATTATTATAATATGCATTAAAAAATGTATGATTTCATTTTGAGAAGCTTATTATAATTTCCTTTTTTCACTTGTATCATAGAGTTAAAACTTAAAACTCTATAATATAAATCTTTTTGAAAATAAACATTACAAATTATAATAATTATATAAACAACTATACAAAAAGAAAAAAGGAAATGTTTGATACACTGTGTGCAGATTAGCTCGTGTTCCGTAGGCGAATGGAAACGCGACACAAAATATGGTTTTGGCGTGTATTACTACATAAATGGGGACGTTTACGAGGGATCTTGGAAGAAAAATCTTCGACACGGTATGGGATCTTACCTTTACGCCAATACGAATACAAAATTTATGGGTACGTGGATTAAGGATCGCATGCAAGGACCTGGACAGTTAATTCATCCCCGACATCGATTCCACGGATTTTGGGAACTCAATTTGGTAAGAAATTTTTGCGAAATTATGATCTTATGATTATTAAAACATTATTGTTTAAAGAAATTATTGAGAAAATATATAATCATAGCCTTATGGTCGAGGATGCTTTACTTTCGAAAATGCTTGCATGCAACATGGACACTATGTGCACATGAAAGATCCTGATTATGATGAGACAAAGGAACCTACCGAGGTGATAAAATTAATTTCTCAAAATTTGATAGAATAATTTTACAATTTATTACATGATTAAGAAAATCAAATTTAATTTTTTTTTTTGATTTAATTAAAATATCAATAGTTCTCTTTATATTTGTGCATGACATAATAATTTCGATACAGGAAGTAGCAGAACCACCATCACCAGAACCTACTGCGATAGAAACTGAAGCAGAAACGGATGTTACAGGGACCGAGATTACAAAACCGGAAGTTAAACCTGAACCTTTTGAACCACCTCGTTTGAAGAAAGGTATTATTGCGTTGTGGCGTGCGCGTTGTATCACACCGTACAATCCTGATTTATTACCACCTGAACCAGTACCATTGCAAGAGGAGGTAAGAACATATATAATTAATCTTTTAGCACTGCAAATTTATATAAAATGATCTGAGAGAAAAAATCGGATCTTTCAAGAGATCAAGATCAAATTTTTCTAAAAATTTTTTAGAAAAAGAATATTCAAAATTAATTTAATTTTAAATAATATTAAAATAATTTTAATACAGAAAAGATAAATTTTCTAAAAAAAAAGTAATTGCGAAATATTCAATTGTAAGAGATCTAAATTATTCCATTTTTGTAGTTTTAAGGGTTAATAAGAATTATATAGAACTTGTATCTTATAATTCATTTTATTTATTTACGATATTATTAACACGATATATTTTTAAATCGTTTAATTAATTATTTAAAAGGGAAATTGTGATATCTTACATTATTTAAGATTATTAGAAAATTATCGAATTTAAATTTTGAAAGTGTACAAAAAATTTATAATTGTATTATCTATGCATACAACATGGATAATACATAGATTTTGGAAATCTATGTATATATCTAAACATGTATTAAAAATTTTTAAGATACATTTAACTATATCTATTATGTATCTTTAGCTATGATTTATTTTAAAAAATGGCAGATTATTTCTTCTTATTTATTTTCTTTTTAAATAATTGTTATTTGTTATGTATATAATCATATTATAAATATTACTTTTAAGAGAATTTCGAAGAATTAATTTAACATATCTAAAATATACGAGTATATTATCTAAAACATAATACATAATTATTATTGCATTATTAATTTTACATTATTTTGGAAATATTGAATTCAAGATGAATTAAAAAAGATTTTAAATTAATCTCTTAATTTATAATTTTTAGATATCTATAGATTCACTAATAGATAAGTGTTCAGAGGATTTATCAATAGTACCAGAACAATTCTTGAAATATGAAGATGAATATGAAGGTGAAGGGGAAATCTATTATGAAGAAGATTATCCTATACCATCTCCTAAAATAACTTAATTAGAAGAATCAAATATGAACATAATTTCTTTCCTAATACGTTAATTCGAAGAATTAAGAAGAAAAATTAAATATTTATATGATTCGATTTTAATTTAAAAAGTATTTAAAAAGTTTATGTAATTCAATATTAATTATATGTGTCTTTCAATAAAGAAAAAAAATTGTAATAAATCTTAAAAATGTAAAAATTCATTATTCGCGAAAATAAAATTTATCTTATTTTATATATAATATAATCATGTTAAATAATATCACTATAACATTTATATATTGTAACAGGAAAAATGTTACAGAGATTCATTCAAATATTCCTCACAATTAAAATAAAAATATATAAAAAAATAATTATGATAAAATATAAAATTATATTTATATGTTTACACGCATGCGCGCATGCAATTACATCATTCATATGGTTAGGCAAAAACGCAACATGTTTTTAAGCAGTTTATTTAGGAAATTATAATAACAAATGTGCGTATGTGCCCATAATACGAGACAATGTAAAGAACATATTTTACAGGCACGCATAGGTCTTTGTTCGAAAGTTTCATTTGCAAAGTATTTAATGTGTAAGTGTATGTATATGTAAGTATGTACGTACGTGTAATACATTAAATATCAGCAACAAATAGAACGAGGGTATGTGTTCATAATATTAGCTAAGCGTACGCTTAAAATAATTGCAGTCTATTCAGTTTTAATCGAAAGATCAATTTTATTATAATAATCATGTACTTAAATACGCAAGAGATTTTCATGTCCTCTATATCCTCGAAAGCGCAAGCTCGCTCGTATCATTCGTTAAGGTTTCTTTTTTTTTCTNTTTTTTTTTTTTTTTTTCTTTTTTTTTTTTTCTTTTTGCTTTTTACGGCATACAAGCGTGTATATTTCAAAAGTACGTTCGTCAATAGTAACACGTAAACAGATAACTATATATATATATATATAGAAAGAGAGAAAGAGATATGATTTCGAAGTATATTTACAATATCTTGATTGAACCGGACTTAAATAGGAAGACGAAAACGTTGTCTTGAAAAATACAGATAAAGAAGTTATATTAAAGTGGAAGAAACTTTTTTTTTTTTTTTTTTTTTTACATTAATAAAACGTCGAGAAATACATTTTGTTTTTCAATCGAAAGTTCTCCATCCTCACTACATTAACCTAAATACCAATCAAATACGACGATTTCTTAAAAATTGTTTTCTTCTAACGATACTAATAAATACTGGCATTCAAATGTTTCGAAATACTAAAAGGAGCGTGAGTTTAATATACATATGTATATTTATATATATATTTATATATAGTTTACCCCTTAATTTTCAAACGAGTCTTTATAAAACGGTTATTCGACTACATTGACATAAAGGCTCAATGGAGATCGAAAGGTTTTAAAAGGACGGAGGAGAGGGCAAAGGAATAAAAAACGTGTTTTGCGAAGTATCGCAGTCTTTTAACAATAAGCTATTTATACAAGTGAATATGACTATCTTCACTTGTAGAAGAACTGTTAAACAGCTGCCGTTTAATTAAACGCCATAAAGTAGTATGTATCATGTTTTAGCGCGTTGACGACGGTAAAATTTCTCTTATATGTTATCACAGTGTTCGATGACACTTTCGTGTTAGAATATTTTTTTTTTTTTTTTATGACACGTCCTGAGATTCTACTCAAGTTAAGAATATTCATACGAATTGAATATCGATATGGGTGATCGATGTTGATAGCAAAATACTTCGCTCTACAGCTTTGCGATTTCTTGGCACAATATCAAAAGAATTCGCGATTATTGCGAAATATCCACAGCCCTGAATTGGTTAAAGCATCAACTATTTTTTCTTTCTTATTTTTTTTTTTTTCTTCCCTCCACGTGTATACCAATTTTAAGAAATCAATCAATTTTGCTATGTCCGTTTGACATGATTCATAGCAAAAGTCGCCTTAATTGAGATATTGAATCAAGTACGCTACGAAAAATCAAGAAATGTTATCATGAATGATTACAAAATAAAATTTTGATATTCGAGCGCATTTTATGTGCATTTAGATGTGCAAACGATCCGTTTGTAGATTGTTGTTTTAAGCATCTCAGGTACGTAAAGCGTGGACGAAATTTTGTGCCCTGTTATGATGTGATTTTTATATCCACAAAAAATTTTTGTTCTTCATTTCGCAAAATTTGTCGTTTTGTTCCCAAAATAATAGATTTTTTAACGACTATTTTTTTTTTAAAGTGAGATGTTACTTTACATTAGATCAGGAGGTGGTCTTTGAAATGCAATGCTTGCTACCGAAATGCTGCAAAAACCGGCAGTTATCACTCCCAGAAATATGTAAACAGCCGTAATTAACCAAAAGGCAAATAAATATAATGTTTTGTTACAATATTTGCCAAGAGCTGGATCATAATTTGGCTCATATTCCTTATATACCCACATTGAGCCTGTGAACAGACAAAGATAAAAAATATAAAAATAAGAATTATAAACATTTAATATAAATGTAAGTTTTTATATTACTGACCTATAATAAACCAGCCAAGCATAAAACAATTAATTAATGTTTGTGTTGGAGATTGTCGTATTCTTTCTTCATCTCTTTCTTCTTGACGTTGCCGTACTCTTGCAGATAAATGTAATAACTGTTTAAAAACACCAAAACCACCACCCACTAATAAATAAACAGGAATATATTCTCCTTGTGGACAATCATAAAGATAAAGTCCTCCAATGACCATCATACATATTGGAACTACTATTGTTACTCCTAAGATAATAGTACATCCAACTGAAATTACCAAAATATTAAATTAATAACTCTTTATATTTAAATAAAGCATTAATTTATGTTTTTACTTACTAGTGCCTAAAAGTAAGACGATAATATTTTTCAAAAAATCAAATACTCCTTTTGAAACTTTATGTGCTTCCCTCATACGACCAAATAATGAATCATAGGATGGAGGAGGAGCTAAACAGAAAAGAACAATAATATTATATATAGCTAATATTTTCATTTGATTAATGAATTGATAATTTCTAATAAAATTAAGACTTTTTTTATTAAAAATATTATTTACCATTTGGATCTATGGCTTCTTCATAAGAAGGAGGTGCACCACAATCATTACTCAAAGTAGATGGGTGTCCCAGAGGTAAATTAATATTATGGTATGAAGGTGGAGGAGTATAACAAGTTGATGCTATTTCAGTGCCAGGATTTATACTTTCGTTCGTACTAACGAAATTACTTTGATTTAATTGGCTTAAAGGCATTTCTTCGCGTATATTTGTTGCTTGAAGCCAATGCATGGAGTTTGCATTAAATATTACTTGATGATTCGCCGTTGCCGCTATTGACAACAGCACACATATAATTTTATAACCTATAAATAGCTTTCGTAACTTTGGTATTTTTATGTCGTTTAATAACGCATCACATCAAGATATGGCACAAATTTTTAAAAAACGTATAAGTTGTGTAATTAAATTCAATGTTATACACTTTCGATTGAATCCGAATTGTTGACACATGTAAAGGAAAATAAACACTCTCAAGTACAATGTACGCTTTTTGAAATTTAGCGTGGTGGTAATTCGTTGGGGTTCACCGAACGATCAGAAGGTAAAACTTATATAACATTCAGTTTCATTTTGAAAGAAAAAAAAATATACCATATTCTAGGAATGCACAAACTGTCACACCCCCGTTTCAAGAAACACAAAACAATCTTATCGCACAAACCGGCATCTACAATTGATTATGCCCACTTTTCTATAAGCAAATCACTATAAAGTTGTTGCACTGCTAAAACATGCAACATTTCTTATTGGTTTTATAACATAACAGTATTATCTTTAAAGACACTACTAATTCGGGAAACTTATATACATTTGCGCCACAATAAACCATGTGCGGCATACATACAAATTAGACTCCGTATCGAATACTGGCCGATCGATGATATTCGATACTAGTCGATTTTGTCGAGGTTTCAATTTCAAATGCGGGAAATCCATAATTTCAAAATATTTTCAATTTTATATAATAATGTTTTTTATTACTTTATTTCTTTATAGTAATATTTGTATTAAGCAAAAATATTTATTTTATAATAAATTTCTTTATCTTTATTCTATTTTTAATTTATTAACATAAATTATTACATAAATTATACAATATATTAATAAAGAAAAAATGCAAAACAATTTGTATTTAATATATTTATTAAACAAAGTAAATAAATGTTCTATTGTTGTCTTTTAATATCAACTTATTTTTTTTTAAAAGATTATAAAGAAAAAAAACACGAAAAAAAAGAATAAAATAAATTCACATATTTTATATACTATTTATAATATTATAAATTATATTTTAGTTTAAATTACTATATATTTCTGGTCATATGATGTAATTAAAACTTGTAATTGTTGAATTCTGTTATATAATAATATATCTATTTTATTGTTATTTAATCTTAAATTACAAAAAATGAAATACTAACATACTAATTTATTATGTAATTTTCTAGAGATTGCTTTTGATAATCTCGTTAAATAACAACCATGAAAATAGATGATATCTTGTTTATATTTCTCATTTTCCTATATTATAGACAATTCTTCTTGCATGTTAAATTTTATTTCCCACAATTTCGTGCTCGATAAATGATTAAATGTTACGCAATCATATATTATTTCATTTTAGTTATAATAACAAAAGGATAGAATTGTTAATTGATTATTATTTCAAAACAACTAATTATAATGATGATATACAGGAAGCATATTGTAGTATACAGGAAGTCTTTTATAGCTTTAAATATGATCCGTGCATCAGTTGAAGAGCAAAGTTGTTTTTATAACAATTGTTTAATGTTTTCTGTTACAATTATGAAGTCACCAATTGAAAAACTATTATTAATATTTGTTTTATGTATCATTTCATCTTCATATATACTGAACGTTAAGGTAAGATATAGGGTGACTTATATATAGAGTATTATACACTTTTGCAACTATTTTATTTCTCTTTGAAACTATTGCATATATTTATTATATTATATAAAAAAATCATATATATTTCTTATCAACTTTAAAGTTATATTTATTAACTGATTTTAATTATTTTTAATTCTTTTTTCTTATTTAAGTAAAATTTTATGCAATTATAAAATTAAATAATATTTGAAATAATTTCATTTAAAAAATATATCTTTTAAAAATAGATCATAAAAATAGATCTTTGTTATAATTAATTTACTTGAAACATTTTTTGCATAAAGTTATAATGACAATTATTAAAAATAATTTCAAAAATTTTTATTTTTAAATTTTTTTAATTATAAAAATTCAATATATAAAAAAATTTTAATATAATAAACAAATAGTATTAAAAATACAATATTTTAATTCAATTATCATTTTTTATTTTTTAGGCAGAGAACAAAGTTACAGTAAATAGTATTAAAATCGATGTCTCAAATGAAGATGTACTCGAATCTTGGGATGCTGGTATTTCAAATAATCTCATTAATACAACGCCTAAGATAAAAAAGGATTGTCCGAGTATATTAGAAGTACATTTTGATTAATTAAATATATTATTTATATTAATAATATATTAATATTAAATATATATATATATAAATATATATTAATAATATATTAATATTAAATATATTATTTAAATATTATCTAAATATATTTTATAATATTTATATATTTATATATTTTATAATATTTTAAAATATTATTTTCAAATATTTCAACATGCCAAAAATAAATAATTTTGCATAAAAAATTAGATATTTTCTAATCTTTTTACAGAATTTATTGATTGAACTAGAATAAAATAATATTTTTCTGCTTTTTTCAGATGGATATCAAAATATATCAAGATGATCAATTGGTAAGCCAAATGACAAAGCAGTCAGAAAAACCATTCAAGGATTTGGAAAATGCTAATTTTTGCGCATCAGTTGAATATATAGATGAAGATGATGGATGTTCTGCTGCACCGGTAATAAAACATATACAATATAAAATATTTCTTTTTTTTTTTAATCGAAATATTAAAACACAGAAAAAGAAAATAGATAATTCTTTCGGTAAATTATTATTACTATTATTGTTAATTAATTAATTATAATTAATCCTATTAATCCCTATTAACAATATATTATTTTCGATCAAAAATAATTAATATTGATATATATTGTTTATTATATTTGAATTTTCTTCCATTAATATTAATACATTATTATTAAAATAATGAATTATCGAATAGGGTGAACAAAATGCTTCAGATTGCGATATAAGCTCGATGTTCAACAGTATGAATCCTGGAAATTACAAAACTGTATGCGAAATGAAGGAAAATGACACTGAATTCGCTACTGTGACATTGGAGGTAACAGTAGAAGCTGAATAAAAGTAATATAATTAATGTCTGATATCACTGAGGATTATTATTACATTTATTTTGATATTTACAACATTTAACATTACTAAATATATGTATGATTACTTATTATTTGTTTAATATTGCAACAGTAAGTGATTTTATCTTTCAAATTAAATAAAAATATTAGCATGGTTATTATATAACTCTTCAGTTTTATGTAAACTTCCTCTTCCAAAGATAAAGATATTTTATAAATTTTAAGAAACAATATTTTAACAATTTTCAACATTTTATTTTTAATTATAAATACATATATATTTAATTTTCATTATCTTTAACTGGACACATTTCAAAAAGTTCAATAAATTGACTTGTCTTTGAAAAAGAAAGATAATAACAAAGCAAGAAATGAAGATACAAAAGAAGAATGCTAACTCTACTTATATTCTCAAATTTTTTTTTATCAAATATATTCTTTTTTTCTGGCAAAATATTTTTGATATTTGATTGAAATGTTTTCTTCTTTGAATCATCAAGTATTTTCTACTGTGCGATAATAATAAATAATATTATTTCAATATGATAACATTTTTTATAATTATTATTTCTTAATACAATAATAAAGTATATAATAATAATATTCTTAATATACAGTAATATATAATATTTATTTATTTTTAAATAAAAATAAAAATGCTTACTTCAAAATTAGTATTTCTTTTCACATTTAATATCTTTGATGAATCAGTTTTTTTTTCAATATTTTCTATAGCAAAAAGGATTTGTGATAAATCCTATTTTATCCTTTTAAACATATGTTAAACATATGACTAAAAAACAATTAATAATTGTCTAAAATTATTAATTGATATATTATAAAATCAAAACTTACGTATAAAATAACAATTTGATTTTGCATTATTTCTTGAAAACATTAATTTTTGAAATTTTATTGGTAGATATTTTATTTTTTTTTTATTATTATTAACTTCCATTGGTTTATATGAATCATGCTGTTATTTCAAATAAATAGATTTAATAATTAAATGATTTAAATAATATTCAATATTATTTAAAAAATATATTGTTAAAAAATATATTATATAAATATAAATATAATATATATATATATATATATATAAATATATATAATAATATAATATAATATATATATAAATATAATATAGTATATTTTATTATTAAGCTTACTTTATTATTTTCTAATTTTCTTTTTTCCTGTAAATTTTCAATAAAATCTGAAATAATAAATGAATGCAAAATATTTGTATATAGATTTAAAAATAAACTTATTTTATTTGAAACCTTCTCTTGAAAAAAAACATCTTTTAGTGGATAAAACACTTTTTTTGGAAATTTTCCATTGAAAGAAGCTACATTCGTTGTACTTGAATCCTTTAAAATATAATTTATCGTATGAAACAAAGAAATTAGTAAATCAGAATTTAATTTTTCTTTTACAATGACAAATTAAAAAAATGAAAAATTTTTTAAATGAAAAATTTACCATATGTAAAGGCATCCAAATATGATCTCTGCCACCACGTAATCTTATCATAGAATTTGCTTGGACGAAATAATGAAAAAAATTAATTAATTAATTCTTTTATGATAAATATATAAAAAAAATAAATACAACATATTTAATACAATAATATAATTAATTACATATAAATATGAAATAAAAATAATATAAATATTTGTTTAATTGTAATAATTAATGTTATGTTAATATATAGTAATATTTGATTTAATAGATAAATTGTAAATAAATAAATAAATTAATGCAGTTAGAGGTTAAGTCATACTTTGAGTTAGATAGGTTACTCCAAAATTATCGCGCGATTTACAAATTCCACTTTTTGAACGAATTTTCATATTTTATTATATATGTTATATCTTTTAAATTACAAATTATTGTTAATCAATAGTAATAATTAATAATAATAATTAATATGAAAGAATGATTGACATCAATTATAAGTAGTAGCAGCGATCATTTAATTCAAGTTCCAATATATTTAACATTTTATTTTTTTTTATTTGTATTAATTAACTATAATTATATATAATGATCGGCATATTTTTATTTGTTATCTTTCTTGTGCAAAAAATTAACATAAACTTCACATCATATATAAAATAAAATTAAAATTATTTAAATTTATTTAATTATAAAAATCAAGAATCAAACATTTTTATATAAATATGTAAATAATAATGTTATATTTATAAATTATGTAAATATATTTATATTTTTATAATTATTTTTTAAATTTAATTAAATTTAGTTTTATTTATTATATTCGATACAAAACGATATAATATAAAATGTATACGTACGTTTTATAATATTATTTTATTTATAATAATAAATAAAAATTATTAAAGATAAATATCTTTTTTAATAAGAATAATAATAACGCTTGTAAATAAATTATATAAATTTCAGGTTCAGCAAAACTTGGCTTCATCTATTTTCTGCCAGTATTATATCTATCTTCTTACAAATTATATGTGTGAATTAAGTAAAGAACTTTATACATGTATAGTATATACATGTGTATGTTTTAAAATTGTATTGTTTAAAAATAATTATACAATTACAAATAATTATTAATTTTTATATATAAATATAAATAAATTTATTTCAATTCTTCGAATGCTTTATATTTTTATATGTTTGAATTATTAGTGGATTTATTAAAGATCAAAGATTCATTGCTTAGTGACCTTTATATCTATTAACATAATGTTAACCTTTGCCTGCAATGAAAAGCAATCAGTTGATACATATTTGTAAAGTCATTTTTTAATTTAATTTTACGAAAAGTTGCAATAATAATTTCGTTAATTTATTTGGCAGCGCATATTTTTGCGCTTTGAAAGAAAAATTTCTAATTCGATCAGATATTTTTATTAATATTGAATGACAATATGTACGTGTTTGAGATATTAAAAAATTTATTTCTAAACTTATTTATTTCCATATCATAAATATTTTGTTCATATTCACTTTTAATGTGTTTTTGTATTACTGCCATTGACAATTATGTTATTCCGAAAATGTTTTTTTGGCAGATTATTCAACATATTCAGATTATAGATTAATTATATTCTATTGTGATTATTATCGTAAAATATGGATAACGTGACAGTGAGTATTAAATTTCATTTTAAATACAAAAATATGATTTTCCTAACCTATAATAATATCTAATATATAATAATCTGATATAATAATAGATTTTTATTATAATTTTTTTTTTTAATTATTTTTTTTTAATTTTATAATTAAATATATTCTCTATTATATATTTTTATAATATAAATTTTTTACGAAATAAAAGTAGAATTAAAATTAATTTTAAAAAGAAATTATTTTTTCTTTTAGGGAATAATACATGCCATGTATCGAGGATTTGTGGATAGTTTGAGAGGAGCTATTGTCTTATTTTATATGGACAAACGAATTAATGAAAAATTATCTAAACCACCCTTAAATAAAACAGAAAGTCATGGAAAAGACATAGCAGTCATACCTCATCCTCCAAAGCATTTTAATCATTTAAGGTATATAGTTAAATTATATAATAAAATTATATATCAAAATTTTAATATTTTATATCTTATATATATATATATCTTTAAGAGTATATTATAATGCATTTTCAGAGAATCAAAAGTGTTAAAAAGAACAATTCAATGTTGTGCTTTAAATGGTGGTGTATTTTGGGTCAGCATATTAATTTTTGAATGTGGTTTACTTCCATTTCTCAAGTACTTATTGACCATTATATTTGGTCATTCACCGGGTATGGGTATGACTGTGTGGTCTTGGATGAAACCATTTCTGTCATTAACTTTTGGCACTGTATGGGTACTACCACTATTTGTGCTCAGTAGGATAGTCAACAGTTTATGGTTTCAGGTATGAGTTATTTGATCTCAGAACGAGAAGCTTTGGCCAGTAACCATTGAAGGGGTTAATATCACATGCTATATTTGTAAACCATGTAGGACATAGCGGACAGTGCTTATAGGTATAGGCAAGGAAGGCCATTACTTTTATCTAGTGTGAGCAAGCTCGTAGCAGACACGCTTTTCAGTATATTGGTTCAAGCATTATTTTTGGGTCAAGGAATGTTGGTATCCAGGATTCCATTACCTCTTGTAGGTGACATTCTTGCTCTTATACATATGTGCCTTTTATATGCTCTCTATGCTTTTGAATACAAATGGTTCAATATGGGTTGGGAGCTACATAGACGATTAAGTTTTATTGAAAGTAATTGGCCATATTTTGTGGGTTTTGGTCTGCCATTAGCAGTACTTACCCAACTGCCCAGTTCGTATGTAATAAGGTAATTGATTTCTTTAAATATTATGTTTCCTATGCAGGAATATTACTAATTAATCTATTGTTATTTTAGTGGCTGTGTTTTTTCTATATTGTTCCCATTATTTATTGTAAGTGGAAATGAAGCAGTACCTGTGACTGGAGTATGGTATGTACCTTTGAAAATTATATATTCTATTAAACTATATATGAATATTTATTTTTTGTTTCAGTGATTGTCCATTAAAATTATTTTCACCGGTAATTGCTATTGCAAATACTCTTTTCAATAAAACAATTGGACCAACGAATAGACGGTGACATGAAACATCATAACAAACTTCTTTAAAATATTAAATATATAGCAATAAACCGACTTTTCAGGTTTTCATATAAATTTTATTAATTTTGATGAAGTATATGCTTAATTAATTTTCTTGTGTTAATTTTTATATAATCAAATTGAAAAGGAAATTTTCATTTTCTATAATAATATAATTGAAATTTAAGACATAACTTATGTTTTAATAGTAGTATTTATAAAATAGATAAATTCATAAATATGCAAAAATGAATTAAAATAAAGAAAAGTATTTGTAAATGCATTATATTTAAATAAAAGTTATTGAAGATACACACAGTAAAAAATTTATAAATTTGGTAACATTTGAAAAATTAGTTATAGATGTTTCTTATTGTATTGCAAGAAATTAAAATAACTTGAAGTTTTATACATTTTTATTATTACTATTAAAACATAATAAAAATAATATGCTTTAATAGAATAATTGCGCATATAAAAAAAATTCCTAATATCTTTTATAAATTATACAACTAAAAAAAATCAAATAGCGTTGCCTAAAAATTTGCACAACTAAAAATAATTTTTGGATTAAGTTAATATATATATATACATATATACATATGTGTACATATATATATGTATATGTACATATGTTTATGTATTCAATTTTTAATTCTTATCCAAATTTGTCAAAGTATATATTACTTTATACAATATAATAAACTTATCATTAATGATAGATATTTTAGTAATTTGTATATTGCTACTTCTAAGAAAATAAATGTAAACGTAAGGAACAAAAAAAAAAAATAAAAAAAAATAGAAACAAATATTATTTCAATATATATTTTGTAATCAATTCAATAATTATATTTGATATTTTATTATTTTATATCACTATGATATTGTAACTAGTCAACTTTAAAAGTCATAAGTACTATGTGATAATATTTATTGCAAAATATTTACAACTAAAACATTTAATTATATACATGAAATAGTAGAAGAGAGATATTTTTATGATACATGTGCATATTAATTGTATATTACTGTTGACATTTAAGTAAAATTTATTTAAAATATATTTTGCAGTGATATAGTATAGTTAAAATTATAATATGTATATCAAGAAAATATTTACAAAGTATTTGTTTCGTAAATAATTTTTATGTTACTTATCGCAATTTTATTTATACATTATTTCAATAAAATAGAAAAATATTTATAAAGAATAAATTGCTTTATATATTGTAGTTTAATAAATAATATAAAGTGATTTTTAGAATGAATGTTGCTAGTTTTAAAGATTTTTCAATTTTTTGTAAATATATAATTTAGATTAATGTTTGATAATAATGAAATGTGCGTATTGTATCAATACATAAAGCAAAATATCTTTTTTTGAAAAATTTTTTATCGACATATAAAGATCACGAGAGAAGTTCTTGAAGAGCTAAAAGATCATTATCAGATGGTTCTTCTTTAATTCTGTATGAATTTGCTAATGCATAATGCCTATGCAAAGCAGCAAATCCAAGTCCAGGATCTGTTTCTTCTTCCATTACTGGACTTGTACCTCTTTCTATTGGTTGATTTTTGCTTACCTATATTTGTTAAAGTTATTATTTTATCAATTTATTATTTTAATTATAAATGAAATTATGATATTAATGAATAATATAAATAATTATTTACTTCGAAACGTTGTTGTTTGTACATAGCTAATTTACGAGTTCCAGGTGTGCTTTGAATAAGATTTTGTATAGTAGGATGTGAAATTCCAAAAAAATCAGCTCCTTTTGGTGTTATTGAACGAAGTGCAGGAGAAATTGCCATTAATAATTTAGAATGACATTCATCAGGAGTAGATCCAACCAATGGTTGATCTAGATCATTATCAGATACAATTTCAAATCTACAATACAAAATATTTTATATATATATTACAGTTATAATTAATTATAATTATAACTAATTATTAATGCAATTATACCTTGGTTTTGATCCACCATCTAATATTTTACATGTATATAAACTTTTTGTTCTTACATCTCTTAAATTAGCATATACTCTAGTGCTGCAATAACCTACTGGATAAATGAGATCTTCTGTATGATAAGCAATTCTGTCTGATACTACTTCTCCAAGCGAGTATACAGTGAGATCACCCAAAGAAATAGGAAATATAGGTCTTCCATGGACATCTAATGGTATTAATTGAACTACTTTCCTTGCAGTTTTATTATAACGCTTAGCTTTATTTTTTGGTTCTAAAAATGTTAAAGTAGTTTAAAAAGTTATAATTTTCAAAATAATAAAATATAATTTAAATTAGAATATTTTAATACCTGAGCCATCAGTCGACACTCTTTTTTTTGTAGTTTTTTTAGGTGTGGAACATTCTGGATTAAATGTATTAGTATTAATACTGTTTGATTGAGATCGAGCTATCATAGTAGAAGGATCTATATCTCCTTGTTGTTGACATAATTTACGTAAAAGAAACAACCTTTCTTCTTTTACAAGCATAAGATTTTCTTGCATTTGTGCAACCTGATCACATAATGCTGCATTTTCCTATAATTATAAAGTTTTTTACAATTTTTATAGTAATTTAATTTGTTATCATGTGTCCTCTTTTATTTGCATTTACTTTTATTTAAAATGATAATTTATTTTTATAAAAAAAGGAAAAAAATATAGAAAGAAATATATTAAGAATCTTACGAATACTGTATCTTTTATGATCCTTTTTAATCTTCGATATTTTTTTTTATATTTTAAATTTTGCTGCAACTCAGCATTTTTCTGAAATTCACTGTAATAGTTATCATAAGCTTGAGTCATTTTAAATTCATTATATTAAACACAAAATATAAAGACAAGGTTATGATCTAATGATATTTGTAATTATTTTTATCAGATATGTTAGGTTATGTTACAATCTAGGATTATGCAATGCATAAGATAGTGAATAACTAAACAAATTTATCATATATGATTTTACATTTATATATATTTTGATCATTATTTAATATTCAAAGATGATAGCAGTAATGTGTTTATTTATTAGATGCATATATAAAAATAATTTTTATATTTTTCTATTTATATATTAAAATTTGTTCATTAAAACTTATTCATATAGTAATCATTATCTTTAAATATTTCAGATTTATAAAATAAAATTATTCATAATTTTTTATATTTTGAATTTTTTCAATTATATTTATTATTACATAAAGACTTATATAATATATTAAAAGTATTTATTTTTTTTCTCTGTAGTATTTTTAATTATTTTCTAATTCTTCAAAATTCTTTTCAATTTATTTTTCAATACTATATCATAAAAATTAAAATAAAATAAATTTAAGATTATTGATAAAATAGAAATTTTATTTTAAATAAGTTATTGAATTTGTTGAATCTATCAAGTTATAATTTAAATTAATTAAAAAAAATGTATATACATATATTTGCATGTATTCTGTACATTTCATTCATTTATTACACAAAGAAGGAAGATTTTGGGGCATAAAAGAAAAAAAATGATTGATTTTATTTCGAAAATACGATTTATTAACCTGTCGAACGTAAATTCTGTAACGCGCGTTCGCACGCACAATGTCTTCTCTGTCATGCTCGTTTTCTACATTTTCACGCACGCGATATACAAAATCTATATTGTAAACATCGTGACGCGTAGCTTATCCGTTAGACGTAGATTATCCTACAAATCGGGTTTTTATGTTCTATATCGATTCCAGTATTTTCAAATCATCGAAAAATTCTCTTTATGCAATTTAATACGCAAGTTGCGAAGGGACACGTGTTTAGGTACATCCAAATTATCTCCCTCTCTCTCGATTTTCTATTTATTATATCCTTTTTAATTTAATAATTCATAATAATTCAATATTTCAAATGTTTATCAGAGATCATAATTTAAAAAAAAAATTTATTATATATATATGTATTTGCAGTTCATTTACGATGAGAAAAAAAGGAATCATCAGTTTGAATCAAAAAACTGATTTTAAAACTTTCGAATTTAGCGACTGGAATGGTCAATGAGTTATATCATATATATATCATTTAATTTTCATAATATGCATATAAAAAAAAGTTTTTTTTTATCAAAATTGTATTTTATTACATTCATCAAATGAAAAAAAATTAATTCTAAATTGTGGTTGTAAATAAATATATTAAAATTCATTTTGCATTAATTTTTTATTTAAGAAATAATTTTTAGAATTAATTTTTAAAATTCTGATTGATTTTTCGTTATTTAAAATTTTTTTTATATCAATTTTGTATATTTATCAATGCATTCAAATTCTTCAATTTCTAATTTCAAATATCTTCGAAGTATTTTTACTTTAATTATTTTTTATTTTACATTAAATTATTAAAAAATTAAAATTTTTTTTCACGAAATGTAAGATAAAATTCAATTTCGATGATTCCCAAATAAGGAGGCAATGAATTAATTTTTAATCACACCTATAATCTCGTTTATTAACAGCATCAAATCATTATTGACACACTATTTTTTACTAATGCATAAATTACAGGTGTGATTAGCAACTTGTTATTTTTTTTTAAAAAATCTTTCTAAAAAAATATACGTATCTTACGATAAGAGAGAGAGAGAAAGAGAGAGAGAGAGAGAGAGAGAGAGAGGCAGAAAAAAGTATGTATACTCCATTCAGAACATGTAAATAAATTCATACGTAATTGATTAATATTCTAATTTCATTCAATTGTAAAATAAACATGTCCAGACGATATGATTTTAAATTTCATTCAAGAATTTTTTCTAATTTTTGATGACGTTCAAAATTATGTCCAAAAAAAAAAAAAGAAAGAAAAAATAAAACAATCGATTTTGTAAGTAAATTTCTCCACTTTGTCAGCACAGATCATGTACGATTACTTTGGTACTTACAATGGAGATCATTGTATGGAACGAATTATAGTCAGATATACATATACATACATATATATATATATATATATATATATATATATATGGTAGAGAGCAGTTTTTTTTTCATTTTCGAGATTTAGCTACGTACAAAAAATATCCTTATCAATTACATACGCTTTATATACACGGTGTACCTACATACGTGTTTTCTCCGATGATTGTAAGAATTAAGTGCGTGTGCGTACTGTACAACCTGTAGCGTATTTATAACATTCAAACGAGAAAGATCACAATTTGCGTTTTACCATTTTCTTTTTGTTTTTTTTTTTTTTCTTTTTTATACAGTCGTGATGTCGAGTATAAGATGACACACGGCTCTCTTACACTTGTGTCGCGAAAATTTTCGATTGCGATGATTTTTAATTAAAAAGAAGGAGAGTGTATAATACAGATAATAGAGTTTCATTGTAAAGTTTTTCAAAATTTTTTTGTGGATATAGTAATCATAATTAGTAAGATAATATATACAATAATACTGATACATATTAAAAAAGATATGAAAATGATGGGAGAAATATCTTGGAACAATTTTAATCATTTATAAATTCATGATTTGATTAGATACAGTTTTTGTATAATATTTATAATTATAAGTAATTGAAGATATCAATAGAAATCGTGTGATGTAATAAATATTTTATTAAAAGAAATATTAATGTATTGGAAAAGTTAAAGTTGATAGAATATTTTTCTTGATGAAAATATAAGTTTTTTTCAAAGACCAATTTGATTATTTATAAAGCATGTATATTTGTATAAATAATTTAAATTAATAAAAAATTTTTTTAACATTTTTTTATATCTTGACAATTTTGTGATAAATTATGATTATTTTTAGATTTTTTAATTTTTTTTTTTATAAATCTAAACTATAAAAACATCGTTTTTATTGTTTTAAATATTAATCAAAAATTACATGAAAAATTTGTAAGTATTATAAAAAGATCTATATTTATTCATTATAGTAATAATATTCTTTTTCGTAATTGACTCGATAATTGAACATTGGATAGAAAAGGTTCGATTATTAATTTATAATAAAAAGTTTATATCTTTAAGTTTTTTAGACTTTTTAAATATTTTTCTTTTACAAATTAATATAATTTTAAATTATTCAAATAAAAAATAAATATAATAATATTTTGATATATTTTATCAATAAATAATATTTTAATATTCAAAAAATTATTTTTCCAAAAATCTTAGTTTCATTTATACCTGAAGTCCAATTCTTTTATAATTTCTGTACAATTCTATATTGATTTTTAGAAATATGAAGTTTTCTCTTTGAAACAAAAATTTCCATTGTAAATTTTCACAACATTAAAATATTCGTATATTAAAATAATCGTTTTCTATTTTCAATAATCAGTAATATATTATTATACCCACAAAATATATATTTTATTAAACTTTCTAACTTATTAACCACATTAATTAAATCAATTAATTCAAATACAATCATAAATTTTCGCGACACATCATACGCATAGATTTTTTTTTTTAATCTCATTTTACAGATTACACTTTCCTCCTTCCTTGTTACCTGAATTAACAAACGGTTAGATCATTCCGCCATTTTTATGATCCACCTTTGAACGATATGACAAAAACGTATATCTTCGACTCTTTTTTATCCCGTAAACGGCCCTTTAATCATTCTATTGGCGTGCTTTGTTCGAAAATATTGCATCTTTCTTTCGATTCCTTTGTACATTTTTTTTTTTTTTTTTTTTTTTTTAAGTCTTTTTATTCTCTGTACCTATATATATTATATATATATATATTTTTTTTTTCTTCTTCTTCTTCTATGTGTTTTTCGCATTTTCGATGATAATTTATTTTGAAATTATGCGAGTTATTTATGCGAGCAATTTCTCTCTCACTTTCTCTATTTCAGTTTCAACTAAAGGGTTCAAAAGGGCGGATATACATTCTCGTCTTAGCGAAGAGCGAATTAATTAGGCCGAACACAATGAACATTCATGAAGATAGTTATCAAAGTTACAGCTGGATTATGCTCGACTATGTACAAAATTTATACAATGTATAAAAATCATTCGTGGCTCGGTGGCTGAGAAATAACCACATCATCTTTTCTTCTTCGTTTCGTATTTTTTTCGCATTTTCTCCCTTGCGATTCACGTTTTATTATATTAACTGTTCCAGCACGATAGATATTTATTAATTTAAGATGATAAAAATTAATCAATTAATTTCTTCTAATTTTTTAACTTTGATTAAAAATATTTTTATTAAAAAATATAATAACGAGGCATTTTTTTTTTATAAAAATTGTTTGAATTTTAAGAAAATTTATTATCTTGTTCAATTAATTGTTTAATTAATTTATCCTGTCGTTTGATAATTTTTTATTATATTAATTTTTTAATTATCTTTAGTGATATGACTTTTAAATATGACTGTTGATTGAATTATTATTTAATTTTTATAAAATATGTTTAATTTTTTACAACTTCACCTCAATATTCAACGTTTTATTAATTTGTTATTAAATAATGTAAAATATATTAGTTATACAAATCTAAAATTACGGAATTAAATTTCAAAAATATATTATCGAAAAAGGAAACATCATGCTGGATTAGTTAATTGAACGATGATCATTTTCTCTTATTTTGTATATTTAACAAATTTTTTAATTTTCCTACCTCCATTATTTGGACCGTCTTTTCCTTAACGATCCGTATTTTAGTATAGAATTTACGCATTTGCCTAATCAATCATTTGCATTTTTACATTCATTTACATACAAATAGGGAATAATGACAACGATCAGTGTAAAATTTTGCAGGAAAGGCGTTCAGCCGAAGAAGTTGTCGAACCTCGTTCATTATATTAAAAAAAAAAAAAAAAAAAAAAAAAA